TAGATAAGTCAAGTCAATATGATATGAATGGATAAACTCAAAGCTATAGTTGATGCAAAATTGACACATCAATACAACCATTCTCTGTCAGACACATTGTGACAAAAGTGGAAAATTATCAGAAATAAACCTTTTCCATCCCCATCCCATAGTTTTACAAAAATAAAAACAGACAAAAAGAATTCACAAAACAAAACCATTTTTGGAGGAATTAGAATGATTTTTTTTTTTTTTTTTTTATTGTTTCTCTTGAATATTAACTGAACTAAAGTCTGAAAGCCCCCCTCCCCATAACACAGTTGCAGAATGTATTGTACTTTCTAACCATGAGGAGAGGAGAGAAGAAAAAAAAAAAAAAATTTAAAAAAAAAAAAAAAAACAACGACGGTATGAATTTGAAAAACATTCTATATATATATATATATATATATAAAACAAAACAAAAAAAAAAGAAATAAAAAGAATTTGATTAACAGTGAGACATTTACATTTCTAGTGTCTGCGAGTCAACTGGGAATTATGGAAACTGCTGACCAACACCGATTTTATATATATAAAAGCAATTTTAGAGGGGAGGAAAAAAAAAAAAAAAAAAAAAAAAAAAAAAACAGTAATGCTACTTTTCATTTTTATTTTTTTTTGTCTTTTCAAAAATCATTTGAAATAATTATTAGCTCAAGTTGAATAAAGTTTGTGCTTAAGAAATATTTCAGGATAAACAAAATAAATTTCAATAGAGAATGAATAACTCCATATCTACATTTAGAAAAAAATTCCCACAAAGAATTTAAAATTGGCCATTGCGTTTTCCTTAAAAAAAAAAAAAAAAAAAAATATATATATACATACTGTTATATCACTTTTCTCACACCAATTAGATAGAAAATTGGAAACAAGGCCCCCCAAAAAAAAAAAGAAAGAAAAGCAATTTTTTTTTTTTTTTAGCAGAAGTTATTTTAAATTATAAATGGTAGACAGTAAATGTAAATAAAAAGAAAACCTGTAAAAATTGTCCATGTTTATTTTCTATAATTTGCCAAAGAATCATTTACATCACAAATTTTGTTCAGATGACCCCCCCCCACCGGCGTTTATGGGGTTACCACAATGTTTTGGCTGAACTGTTCTTGACTTCCTCAGAGTGTATGATTCTTAAAGACAAACCCGCTTCTTTATAAAATGGCAATATAAACTATTCAAGATTATTTAACTATTAAGAATTGGGAGGAAAAATAAGCCTACCCTACAAAATTAATATTACGGTATGAAATCAAACAAAGCCAAACCATAAATAAGATTTTGACATCTTACACATTGAAAATATGAGTGCAGATGTGATTTATTTAAGACATTGGAGGCAGTTGTATTGCATGGATGTTTCTGAATCTTGACAAAGTTGTGAAATACTTTATCTTCAAGTTACATCTTAAATAGAAAACTTATAAAACATAGTTTTAGAAATTCCTGCAGCATGACAATTGCTATCCTTTTCAAGATGTCTTCAAACCAAAATGGCTAAATGAAATTGTTGAAGTGAAAGTAGGAATTTGCTTTCAAAAATATTTAGTATTTCTTAAAGAAATGGCATTTTCTACAACACTATCAGTTTACAGCATGTGGAATCATATAGGCCAATCTGAAATATTTGGGGGCTTCTTATTTTCCCAATCCTCTGCAAGATTCAACACTTCTAACACCTGATCATTTGAGTGATTGAAGAGATTTCCCTAAGTGTTGACCCTACGCTACCTATATCACCTGCAAAGAATTAATTGCATTTTGTTGTTGCTCTCTTAGCAAATTAGAAAAAGCAAAAATTTCAAGTTATGATAGTGCAGATAATGTAAAAATGGTAATCATCAGGTAAAAATGAAATGCATTCAAAAGAAAATATACAGGCATACTTAAGTTGCGGCTAAATATGTTCAAAGCGAAAAAATATCAGAAAAATAAAAATGGTTAGTAAACAAGAAAAAGTCGAATGTTCAACAGCATTTCTTATATTGAGTAAAATTAAAACGTCAAGAAAATTATTCCAGGTAATAATAAAGGAAAATTGCAATGATTTTACTACTTTCTAGATAAAAGAAGCTTTGTTTTTTAGTGATTAAATTAAAACCAACAATAAAATTAAATATACAAATTCCAAGTACAAGGTATTGCCAATATTATAAGAAAAAAAAAAAAAAATAAATAAATAAAAAAAAAGGGAAATTTCAAGTTACAATAAAAAATTAAAAATGAACTCCGTATTTATTTATATTCGCAAAAACGGAAAAAAAAAAAACAAAAAAAAACAAAAACAAATTGTTTCACTTGATAGAATTACACCAGAAATGGGACACGTTTGTAAGTTTCAAACGAAAAGCAAGCTTTCATTTATTCTAAGAGAATTGTATTTAAAATTAAAGTCAGATCAATGTAAGGTACGAAAATAGGCAAAAATTAAATTACCGGCAAAAAAAAAAAAAAAAAAAAAAAGTATGAGTGTTTTTAAAAAGAACCTAAAATTAACATAATTACAAGAAAGTTAATATGTACAAAAAATGATTAATAAGCAAAAAGGCATGACATATAGATTATGATACATTAGGAAAGGAAACAATATTGTTAAATAGTAAAACGGTAAAAACCTGGGTTGAGAATGTAGAATTTTAGACAAAGGCAATTCAAATGTTTGTGTTTGTCTCAAATACAAAAGATTGCTATTTTATAAGGCAAGATAGGGAGTGGGAGAAATATAATGATGTTGGGGAGGGGGGGAACAACAACAACAACAACTAAGGCATGGTTGATAATACCAGATGGAGGGGAAGATGAATGACAAGTCAATGTAGAGAGAGGGGGGAGAGAGAGAGAAGGCAATAAAAACATTGAAACATTTGTAATTTTTATTCAATCTCAACTATGAGAAAGACAATAAAAACATTTCAAACCAACACATTAATCACCTACTATTTAAACACATGGTCGCAAGAGCTTATATAGAAATAGGAAACAATTTTCCTTTTAAAAATTCAAATCAAGAAATAGATTAAAAAACAAAATGAAAACAGCAGCAAAAAAATAAACATTTCTTCATGATCTGACTCCAAGACAAATTAGCAATTTCACTTTTTTACTAATTATAGCAACATAGTAACTAAACCTCGCTCGATAAATAAAAAAAGTTGCATGAAAAATATTTTCGGTTTGAAAAAAGAGGAAAAAAGCAAAAAAACAAAACAAGTATTTAATTTAAGAAGGTGAAAGTTAAAAAGGGCACTATTTGGAATTTAAAAAGAAAAAAAATTAAAAAGGTCAATGAACCAATGAATGAAAAAGATAGCTTGGTCGCAGTACGAACAATAAGCAGGGTGCATCAGATAAGGAGAAAAATGATTTTTAAATTGTTAAAAAGACTAATTAGGGTCCAAACTGTTGTGACAGCAGCAGCAGCATGACCGGGGGGTTGATGCAGCATTGCTCGCGTGTATTTTAGATTGTGGGGGAGTGATAATGGGTGGAGTGGGATGGGACCTGGGTAAACATTTATCATGGGTACATAACACTGACTAAATGGAAGTGACAAGGAATAAAAACAAAAACTGAATATCAATTTCAAAACATTTGAATCGGTCATGGTTCCCCCCCCCAAAGAATTGATTATTTTGTTTTGACAACTAAATTGAAATCAAACGCCAATGTTATTGTTCAGACACACACAGATTTATTTATATATATATATATATATATATATATATATATATATATATATATATATATATATTATATATATTATTCATGTCAGAAAATTTGATAAATTAAGGACCGGATAATAAATTAGGAAGACAAGTAGAAGACAAAGACGACAGCGGAGATAATTGAAGGTGTCTTAACAGAACTTGTTTGTTTTTTTTTTACTAAGTATTTAGTGCAGATATGATGATGAATATGTAACACATGTCAATGCATTATCTTTTTAAACTAAAGTACAGGTAGGAATAGATAAAAAAGAAAAAGGTTGGATGATGACCATGCGGAAAAGAAAAACCGCTTTCAGGCGTACATATACCAATTAATCGAAAATATTGAACATCGTTTAACCTCTTGTAAGAAGAGTCAAATCAGTTGTATTTCAAGATTTTGATATTTTAGTGTGAACGTCTACAATGACAATTCTGTAAAAAAAAAACAATTAGCGAGCTAAAAAGAAAAAGATAATTTGATTTGGAAGTATGTCATGCACTTGACTATTGAAAAAGACAAGAATAGAATGCAAATAATTAGGGAATAAGAAGGAACAGGCAGTTTAGCTTTCATAATATATATAAATTGAATAGTAATTGTAGCCAGCAATATGTAATCACGTTATCGGCGACATAGGCAGGTACTTACCGTGTAAGTGTTGAGTCCCTCTCGGTAGTAGCAGTGGGTGTCAGAGGAGAGACTGTAGAAGCAGAAGTGGTGGATATGTGGATTTGTCTTTGCTCAGCTGGACTAGCCAGGGGCAGGACTGGGCTGATCTTACAACCATCAAACATAGCTATCCATTGTTATCCAAACCATGTTGTTGAAGTAGAAATGGATCTTTGTTAGGGTAGCGGTGGCAAGTAGAAGAAAGCTACTGGCCTAACACACAGGGCCAATGACTAGAACACTTACACAAGAAGCAGATGGGTAAAGGACTACTCATTACTACTACTACTACACACTTAGTGCTATAGTTAGTAGAAGTAGTAGTCGTGCTGTTGGCTAAGGAAGTGGGGTAGGGTTGACTGCACGTCGTATTCCAGCCAAATCATCGACAAGTGCAGTGCACTCTAGAAAGAAGGGAGTCCCTGGTTCATGGTGAACAGGAGAAGAGAAGGTACATTCAGACAAGCACGAAGCAGAAGCCGTCAACAGCAGCAGCAGCAGCAGCAGAGCTGCTGCTGTAATGGTAAGAGCAGTAGAAGTAGCGAATGAGTACACAACAACAAGAGAATAGGTTGGTTATCCAAGACCTAAGTGAAGGAGCCTTATAAAAGCCCTGCCGTGACACTGGGAATGGCCTGATCTTTGTGTCGGGTGCTGGCAACAGAGAGCCAACATGGTTTGAAGAACAAGGGCATAGAGAGAGAGAGAGAGATAGAGAAAGTGATGTGGACAGAGACTGGCCAATAGTAGTAGTGAGTGTGTGGTTGGCTCACACGGTGAGTGGAGCTGCAGCAAACAATGGCCCACGTGAATGGAGAAAAAAAAAAAAAAAAAAAAAAAAAGAAAAAAGATAAATAACAAATAAAATAAATAATAAAAAGGAGGAAAGAGTTGGGGTGGAGGCCGCGGTGAGCAGCAGTAGAGATGGCGACTCCTTGGGGGTAGGAAAGAAAAAGGTCTGCTTTACCAAGAGGGACAACAACATCACACAAGGAGTTGGGGAAGAGTTCTATCTCTCCAACAAGCTTCAAGCACACACGCTTTGTCTATACCCCATCCTGTCCCTTTCACCAACCTTATGCCATCTTTTCTCCCCTTACCCAGCCTCCCCCACCCCGGCTTTAAGTAAACCAAGCTTTCGTTTAACTTTTCAGTTTTCTTTCATGCCAACAAGAACTGCATTGCATCTAGTTCATAAGCGGTTACTTTTCAATGAACTTAGAAAAATGTGTTCCATACAAAACAAATGAGTGTCTGATGAAGCAGAGAAGAAACAAAAAAATCCTTAGTTGAATAAAGTAATAAAAAAAATAACAACAGGTGCTTCAAATAAATTTAAACAAATGGAGAATAAAACAAACAAAACCTTAATATAAAAATTATCTTTCAAGAGTAAAAGAGCAAAAACGAACTGTAAATGTCTCTCTTGGCTGTAAGCATCACAATCTTAAGTCTATTTTTATAGAAGACCTCCACTCCCCAAATTTAGAGATTTAACATGAGTATTCATTCATTTGGAGACAACAAATGATTTCTTTGCTCCCCAGAAGTATGAAGAGTTCTCTAACAAAATCTTATTCTTCATCAGGTTATAAAATTATGCAAAAATAAAAATTTATATTAAAATATAAAGTGACATAAAACTTGGCACAACCAATTTGTCCATTTTCAAAAAAAATCACTATATAGATTGCATGTTGGCAATAGCTGTCTTCAAAATAATAAACTTGTTGCACAAAGATGGAATGTAATAGATGCACTTACTTTGATGACAAAGCATCTCATAAATGCATTACAGGTATTCATAGCATTTAACATTATTTAAAATAACCGAGTTCTAACAACTGTTCTTTTTTTTTTATTTTTGCTTGTATGTAGTTATTTGAAACTGCTTTACCTAATAAAATCATTAGAAAAAAAAAAAAAAAAAAGGAGGAATATTTAAATATAATCTAATTAAAATTATAAATTAAAATAGCCAAGTAACTGAAATTAAATTACATGTGTGCACAGAAATTTTTAAATGGGGAAAAACGAAGCAATATATATGAAATGATAAATGGACCATAGGACTGAAAGAAGAAAAATATTACAAAATCTTATCAGAAGAATTGAATCAAAATAGTGTAGAAAGTTCTGGCACTTTAAAAAAAGAAATTATTACCAGCAAAAGATATAGGTAGAGATATTTTCAAAGTTCAATATTTTGTGTCAACAGTTTGCAGAACAATTTTGATTACCCAAGCTTAAATGGAACTTGCAGATTGTCAAGTTTAAAAGATTTTCTCATTTGGGTCAAGATTATAGATTTATCGTGGGAAAAAGGATTGTTTATCTTTCTTAATAATGATTAAAAACAATTCTATGATTTCTTAGTTATTTTTATGAATGACTAATCCTAAATATTTACCTACAAATTTAAGCAATGCAGGAATATTAAAATTTAAACATTAAATAATTTTAAAATTCATAAAAACCTGATGATTGAAAAGGGGTGAAAGTGAAAAGGGGTGAAGAGGTGCTGAAAGTACACAAACTGACCAAGAGGAGATATTAAAAGTTTGATATTTGGCCAAATTGTGGGAAGTGGTTTAAACCAAGAATTTTCAGTATCCCTTATTATAATTTAGATTGTTCTCAGTTCTAGAAGAAAGTAGAAGCAGCCATATCATTTGGATTTCAAATCAATTGTTTTATAGTGGAATGTTCTTTGAATAATTACAACTGCAAGGATTTGGCGGGAAGGCAACCGGGCACGGACAGACTAGACGGGAAGGCAACCGGGCACGGACAGACTAGACGGGAAGGCCACCGGGCACGGACAGACTAGACGGGAAGGCAACCGGGCACGGACAGACTAGACGGGAAGGCAACCGGGCACGGACAGACTAGACGGGAAGGCAACCGGGCACGGACAGACTAGACAGGGGAAGGCCGGGCGGGGACAGACTAGACAGGAAGGCAACCGGGCACGGACAGACTAGACAGGAAGGCAACCGGGCACGGACAGACTAGACGGGGGAAGGCAACCAGGCACGGACAGACTAGACAGGGAAGGCAACCAGGCACGGACAGACTAGACGGGAAGGCAACCAGGCACGG